AGCCAAAAACAAGTACGACAATATCAAGTACATCTCTACCCGGAACCAGTATCACAATACCACAGACCGTCTACGAATACTACACACAATTGTTTGGAAAGAAAGATACACTCTGTCTCTGAAGTAAATAAAACAGAATATAAAGATAGAAGAGAACGTCAGGGCCTGCGGACGCCCGCAGGACTACCTCGGGATCTCTGACTGGACTGAAGGCTCGCGTTCGGGGAGCTTCAGCCCCCAGAGCCTTCGCGTTCACGGTCGGGTGGCCGCGTTCGCGTAGAGTAAAATCCCTCTCCCCCTGCCCAGGCCCAAAGGCCTTCCCGTTCGCAATAGCAGGTCCGCGTTCGCGAAGGGAAACACCCCCAAAGCTTCGCGTTCGCGTCTTGTGTCTCGCGTTCGCGTAGAAGGAGATTTCCTTCAGCTTGACTAATCCTTCGCGTTCGCGAGAGTCCTTCTGCGAACGCGAAGAACAACACACCAGAATAGCAGAAACTGAAAACCTGCAACTTTTTCTAAGTTCAACAACCTTTTGAGACCTATCTGAAACTCACCCGAGCCCACGGGGCTCCAAGCCAAACATGTACACTACCTCAAAAATACCCTACGGACTTACTCGTGCGATCAAATTGCCAAAATAACATCAACAACTATGTGTTTAGCATCAAAATCATGAAATCACTCAAGAAATTTAAATTTTCTAATTTTTCTCAAATACCGTCTAATTCACGTCATTTCCAGTCCGTTTCTTACCAAATTTCACAGACTCGACTTAAACCACATATAAGACCTGCACCGGGCTCCGAAACAAAAATAAGGGTCCAATACCATCAAATTTTAAACACATTTCATTTTCAAAAACTCATAAATATTCGAGAAAATAATTTTCTTCAAAAATTCATTTCTCGAGCTTGGGACCTCGAAATTCGATTCCGGGCATACGCCCAAGTCCCATATTTTCCTACGGACCTTCCGGAACGGTCAAATCACGGGTCCGGGTCCGTTTATCCAAAATGTTGACCAAGTCAACTTAAATTCATTTTAAAGTTAAAACTCATCATTTTTCATAGATTTTCATATAATGGCTTTCCGGCTATGCGCCTGGACTGCGCGCGCTAATCGAGGTGATGCTGAAAGATGTTTTTAAGACCTCGGAATGCAGAAATTTATTTCTAAAGCAAGTGATGATATTTTGGCTCATCACATTCTCCACCTCTAAAACAACCGTTCATCCTCGAACGGACATAAGAAGGAAGTACCTGAGTTGGGAAAAAATGGGGATAACGGCTCTGCATATCGGACTAAGACTCCCAGGTCGACACCTTAGTAGGCTGACCTCTCCATTGAACACGAACAAAAGAAAAACTCTTTGATTTCAACTGACGAACCTGCCAGTCTAGAATAGCTACCGGCTCCTCCTCATAGGACAAGTCCTTTTCCAACTGAACAGTGTTGAAATCTAATACGTGGGATGGATCGCCGTGATACTTCCGAAGCATGGACACATGAAACATTGGATGCACGGCTGATAAGCTCGGTGGCAATGCAAGTCTGTAAGCCACCTCTCTCACTCTATCAAGAATCTCAAACGGGTCAATGAACATAGGGCTAAGTTTGCCCTTCTTTCCAAATTTCATCACGCCCTTCATAGGCGACACCCGAAGCAATACCCGTTCACCGACCATGAAAGCCAAATCACGAACCTTACGATCGGCATAACTCTTTTGCCTGGACTGAGCTGTACGAAGCCTATCCAGAATAATCCTGACCTTGTCCAAGGCATCCTGAACTAGATTTGTACCCAACAACCGAGCCTCTTCCGGCTCAAACCATCCAACCGGCGACCGACACCACCTACCATACAAGGCCTCATAAGGAGCCATCTAGATACTCGATTGGTAGCTGTTGTTGTAGGCAAAATTTGCTAAAGGCAAAAACTGGTCCCACGAGCCTCCAAAGTCAATGACACAAGCTCGGAGCATATCCTTCAAAATCTGAATGGTCCGCTCAGACTGCCCGTCTGTCTGAGGATGAAACGTTGTGCTCAACTCAACCCGTGTGCCCAACTCTCGCTGAACTGCTCTCCAAAAATGCGAGGTAAACTGCGTACCTCGATCCGAAATGATAGATACGAGCACACCATGAAGACGAACAATCTTCCGAATATAGATCTCAGCTAGCCTCTCGGAAGAATATGAGACTGCCACAAGAATGAAATGTGCTGACTTAGTCAGCCTATCAACAATAGCCCACACTGCATCAAACTTCCTCTAAGTTCGTGGAAGTTCAACAACGAAGTCCATGGTAATACGTTCACACTTCCACTCAGGAATCTCAATCTTTTGGAACAAACTATCAAGTCTTTGATGCTTGTACTTAACCTGCTGACAATTCAAACACCGAGCCACATATGCAATAATATCCGTCTTCATTCTTCTCCACCAGTAATGCTGCCGCAGTTCCTGATACATCTTAGCGGCGCCCAGATAAATAGAGTACCGGGAACTATGGGCCTCCTCTAAAATCAACTATCGGAGTCCATCCACATTAGGCACACAAAATCGATCCTGCAATCTCAAAACTCCATCATATCCTAAGGTAACCTGCTTGGCACCTCTGTGCTGCACCGTGTCTCTAAGGACACACAAATGAGGATCATCATACTGTCGATCTCGGATACGCTCCAATAAAGAAAAATGAGTGACTGCGTAAGCTAACACGCGACTGGGCTCAGAAACAACCAACCTCACGAACTGATTGGCCAAAGCCTGAACATCTAAAGCAAGCGGCCTCTTACCGACCGGAATATAAGTAAGACTACCCATATTGGCTGACTTCCTACTCAAAGCATCAGCCACCACATTGGCCTTTCCCGGATGATATAAGATGGTGATATCATAGTCCTTCAACAGCTCCAACCACCTTCTCTGCCTCAAATTTAGCTCCTTCTGCTTGAACAAGTATGCAGACTCTTGTGATCTGTGAACACCTCACATGTCACGCCATACAAATAATGCCTCCAAATCTTCAATGCGTGAACAATGGATGCCAACTCTAAATCATGAACCGAATAGTTCTTCTCATGAATCTTCAACTGCCGCGAAGCATAGGCAATGACCTTGCCATCCTGCATCAACACCGCACCAAGTCCAATACGAGATACATCACAATAAACTATGCAAGGCCTTGAACCTGTGGGCAAAACCAACACTGATGCCGTGGTCAAAGCAGTCTTGAGCTTCTGAAAGCTCGCCTCATACTCGTCCGACCACCTGAACTGGCCACCCTTCTGGGTCAACCTGGTCATCCGGGCTACAATAGACGAAAACCCCTCCACAAACCGACGATAGTAACCTGCCAGACCCAAGAAACTCCTAATCTCTGTAGCTGATGCGGGTCTAGACCAATTCTTGACTGCCTCTATCTTCTTCGGATCAACCTAAATACCCTCTGCTAATACAACATGACCCAAGAATGCAACCGAACTCAACCAGAACTCACACTTCAAAAACTTAGCATACAACTGACTATCCCTCAAAGTCTGAAGAACCACTCTAAGATGTTGCTCGTTGTCACACCTCCTTTTTACCTACACCCCCGTAAAGGGCGTAAAGGAATTTTTCCAATTAAAGGACAATCGAAACGGGATTATTATTAAAAGATTCAGTGTTGCCACTTGAGAGATTTATGGTGTCCCAAGTCACCGGTTGAATCCCGAATCGAGGAAAAGTTTGACTCTGTATTACAGTTCGCGAACCAGAAATCCGAGTAAGGAATTCTGTTAACCCGGGAGAAGGTGTTAGGCATTCCCGAGTTCCGTGGTTCTAGCACGGTCGCTCAACAATAATTGGCCTATTATCTGATTTTAATACATGTTTTAGCCTATGGTATAATTTTAAATTATTAACCGCTTTTTATTAATTTTAGGAAGATTAAACGTCATCTAAAACACGTCTTGAACCACGTTACATAAATGCACCCGCGATCCACGACACATTTTATCTAACGTTGTTGAGATTTGGATTTGGGTCACATAAATGCACACCCGAATTTGGAAATTAGGTATCGTAACTATGTCACGGGAACCGTACCCACAATCACGATGGTTTATTTTATTAACAAAATTAAATTATAGCCGGGTCCCATAAATGTACCCCCAGATTTTAGAATTTAAGTGCCATAACCACGTCACGGAAACCGTACCCATAGCTATGACAAATTTAATTAAACGTGCCTAAAACAAAACTACGAGAGTTTTGTGATTATTTTTCCTACAAATAGATTAACCCTTTCATTCAAATAAGATCCAAATTCAAACTTAATGTCTTCAACGTAATTGGCATGAGCTTAAATAATCAGAATACTCCAAAATAACACAAAGGAAGAATACGCTAGAATAGAATTAATAATTATCCCAAAATTCAAGATTAACTTCACAAAGATTCACTTTTCTTATCCCTTAAGCACCTGAAATGTTACACAAATAAATATGCATAATGAAGAATTTATAATAATAAACACTTGAGGCTAACTAGAAAGCACAAGCTATGGGTTTCACTTCGGGACATAGCCGAACAAACATGGAATTGACACAGTTAAATTGAGCCTGTAATTCAATTGAGAGTCATGCTAAATCTGGAGAAAATCGGTAAAGAAATTGCCGAATGAGCCATTAGATTAAAACACCAATTTCCACTTTTATGGAAGAAATCGAAAAAAAAGAAAAGAATTTTTTTTTTATCAACTTCAAATGCAATAACAAACAACATTCACATCTCAATTAATAATAAAACTTGGACGGGTAGGCTTTGATTTTTCTTTTGCGAAACCAAGCATTCACATCTCAATTATACTTTAAACTTGACACTTCCATGAACTTCACCATGAGGTTCAACAAACAATTTTAATGGACAGGAGCAAAAATGATATCCAAAGCTAGCAACATAGTGAGAAGGCAAAAATTGGACCTTTGTATTAAATGAATTTGAAGTTGAAAAACTTACATCGGAACGAAGATCGAACAAGAAACTAGCAACACCGGAACCTCGAACTTAAACCGGGAATTGATCTCGAACGGAAAGTCCAAATCCGAACACCCACTCCATTTTTGAAAACCGAATCGGAAAGGACGAGATTTCAGAATATATCTTTACTTTTCTGATTTTATTTTTTTAAATCTTTTTTTCTAAAAAAAATAAAAAATTGAGGAAACTAAAAAAATCTAGCAATGGAAAGAAGAAAAACGTTCTCTGCTTTCCTCCCTAATTTNATTTTTTAAAAAAAAAAAAAAATTGAGGAAACTAAAAAAATCTAGCAATGGAAAGAAGAAAAACGTTCTCTGCTTTCCTCCCTAATTTTTTTGTTTTTTCGTTCCTCTTTCTTTTTTGTGTATTGTGTGTTGCCTTTCAATTGAGAAACTAAGAAATGGAAATCAGAACGTAGGGAGAGGGGTCTTGGTATCTGCCGCATTTTAGTCTCCTCCAAGGTATTGAAATCTTAGGGTAGAGTTTCTATAATTGGGTATTTTATATGGAAGTAGAAAAGGATGATGACCATTGAATTAGAAGGAAATAGAAGACTAGGATTAAATCTTGCACTTAAATGGGCTAATGGGTTGGAAAGAATGGGCCAAGGGTAATTGGGTTGGACTATGTCTTTTTTTGTGTTTCAATTTTGGGCTAAGAAAACTCCAAAAATTATTAATTAACACCATAGCTAAATTCCTTTAATATAAGATAACTATACTACATGATGCAAAAATAAATTCTAATTAATTAAACTAAACTATATTAAAGTATGAAACTATTACATATATTTTTTGTATTTTTCAAGATTATATAAAGATAAAATTAAGGTACTATTTTTTTTGTGTGTATATATATATATATATTACTTTATGGAAGGTACATAAAATAAAAATATTTTTGCAATTTTTATTTTCTTGTAGTAAAATAAAGTAAAAAGAGTCAAAATTAGTTGAAATAACTATATTAGGCTTAAACTAAATATTTTACGCTAAAATGTAAAAAATCTTGGGGAGGGTCAAAAATCACATGTCTATAGCTGCCCCTCTTTGACTGGAAACGCGAAGAGTTTTTAGACAAAGAATGACTAGATAGGTTTTTTGACCCGACCCTTATTTGGAGGGACTAAACTAAGAGAGAGAGGAATGTGACCGAGCCCTGGTATCTGAGCTGCCTACATATTCTTGGCTATAAAGGAATCAGGCCACATGTAGTTCATAGATGAGTGAGATGACGGAGTATGCCGAGGTGGAGATCCGGTCGAGGTGCTGTTGTGCCGAGGTTCCGGTCCGCGGTTCTTGTTATTTATTACATCAAAAATCAAATGAAAAAGACTAACTAAACCTGTCAACTACGAGTTACAAGATTCCTGTCTATAAGTTTTCTGAAGCTTGATCTTGATCTTGAGTCTTGAATGGTTCTTCATGCGGGCCTTAGATTTGAACCTTGACGCTTGCTAGTTGCAGGTTCTAGCTCGTTCTTCTACAGCTTTTGGATCAAGACCGGACATGTAGTGCTTGTGACTTCCACCATGTCTTAAGCAGTTCACATCTTCCATCAACTTCTGTATTTGGATTCACTTCTTGCCTTTCTCTCTTTTTCTTTATTGTGACTAACTTCTATTGATCACCTCGGACTGTTGACTCACATTCTTGCCGTGAGATTCTTTGGTTGCTGACTTGAATTGTAATCTGAGATGTTTTCCTTTTCTCCAGGTGAACGCCTGACTACTAAACTTGAATTATATTCCCATGCTTTCCAAGCGGGCTCCTGATTGCTAAACTTGAATGTATTCC